AGACTCAAGTTACTCAACAGTTGTTCACTCCCAAATTAATCAGTAAACAAATTAACATTCAAAATATAGCATCACATATGTAAAAACATGACGAAATTTATCAATGAATACCATTAAAACTTCGGGTAAAACAAGATAAAATGTGAGACAATAACACGTAGGTTAAAATCCAACATTGATTAAGAAAAGATGATGCTTTCAATTTTTTTTTAAAATTCAATATTCACATAAGAACTAACATATTACAGAAATAAAATTCATAACTCTCACCATGATTTGATTGAAGGGTAAAAACCAAATATTGAAATGCTTGCCTTGCATTTGCCATGGAAGTAAGCAAAACATTTGTTGGTAATTTTGGGATGATTTTACCTTCTATACATTTTACTATCACATTACAGCTGGTTATATTTCTTCATAGTATGTTATTGTGTTGAGTAAACACGTAATTTACTAAATGGATCTTAGACTGTAGGATTTATTGTTTGTTAGGATATCTATTTCGAAAGTCAAATTCATAAAAATGTATATGCTATGGGGAAGAAAATTCAAATGTCCTGTAACATTTGAATGAAAGATCGAAATCAGAATATAAAGATATTTATTTTGAATTTTTCCATTAACTTAATTCTACCAGTTGCCATTGAATTTAGCTATTTTCCAATTTTGGACATTTAATTCTCATTTATTTTTGACAAGTCTCATTTTTATTTTAAACGTGCTTAATATGTCCACTATCCGAGACGTCATGAGCTACGTATTTTTGATATACCTTGCCTCTATATATGTATGCTATGTAGCATCTCTAGTCATTCCTACTCACAGCAAAACAAAAAAAAAATGGATAAAAGATGGAGTCTTGAAGGTATGACAGCTCTTGTAACTGGTGGAGCAAGTGGAATCGGGTTTTTGTTTCTACTCTATAGCTACATCATATTTAATCTTACCCATTGTTCTGTTTTATCCAAGAATTCGCTAAAATATATTTTATTTTGTGAAATGTTATAGGCATGCAATAGTAGAGGAGCTAGCCAGTTTTCGAGCTAGAATCCATGTGTGCGACATATCTGAAACACTGCTCAATCAGAGTTTAAGCGAATGGGAAAAGAAAGGGTTTCAAGTGAGTGGTTCAATATGTGATGTATCCTCTCGTCCAGAGAGAGAAACACTTATGCAAACCGTCTCAACGAAATTTGATGGCAAGCTGAATATACTTGTAAGAAATTAAGCATATTTTCATTGGAAAAAATATAGTAAGATTTATGTTAGTCTTTTTTCAACATAGGTGAATAACGTTGGTGTGGTTCACACTAAGCCAACAACCGACTATGACGCAAACGATTTCTCGTTCCAAATCTCAACAAACTTGGAGTCTGCTTATCATCTTAGCCAGCTTTCACATCCTCTCCTGAAGGCTTCTGGATTTGGAAGCATTGTTATGATTTCCTCTGTTGGAGGGGTTGTATCAATGTGCTGTGGATCCATCTATAGTCTGGCGAAAGGTATACAGATTATACTTGACGCAATATTATTGTGAATGTTTCGACATGTTAATACGAACTCCATGTATTTGATTAGGCGAATTTTCACTTGTATTATTCCCAAATGATGTTTGGTAAAAATGAATTATGTCTTGAGTTAACGTTAATAAGTTGGTTTAAAATGGTACGTCAAAATTTATAGCTGGAATGGTTAGATTTGCACTTGTAGAGTTGTAGTATATATATATTATTCCAGATCATATAATTTATATATGAGATTCCCATTATAGTAACTGCAAGCACTTTTTCGCAATTATATATGATCCCAGTGTCAGAATTCGTTTAAAACTATTTAACTAGCTCGATTGATAATACTTAATTTCTCCAAAATTGCTTCCAAAGGCTAGTTGATGTGATCCTTTTTTTTCTGTAAAATCTGTGTAACGTTTAGTATAATTTTCTTTGGGATACTTAATAAATATATGATTTATCATTTTTCTTTGTGTGTGTATGCAGGAGCTTTGAATCAACTAGCCAAAAATTTGGCGTGTGAATGGGCAAAAGATGGCATACGAACCAACTCTGTTGCTCCTAATTTTGTCAACAATACTACTATGGCTCAACCTGTAATCAAAGACACCCTTCAGTTTTTTTTTTTCCTTTTTAGTTTTCAGTTAACGCCACGCAGTTCTCATTCTTGTGTCTTGCAATCTTATGAACAACCAGTTTTTCAAAGACGCTGGTTACGAGAAGAGTTTGTTGAACAGAACTCCACTTGGTCGGGCTGGAGAGCCAAAAGAGGTTGCATCACTTGTAGCGTTCCTGTGTTTACCTGCAGCTTCATATATTACTGGTCAGACCATTTGTGTTGATGGAGGCCTCACTGTCAATGGTTTCTCCTATCAGCCAAATGCATGAGCTCGGACTTTTGTGTGTGGTGATGCAGCGTACAAGTATATTTCAAATTGATGTTGGGTTTTGCTTAAACATTTCCTTTCTATCATTAATAAAAACCAAAAATAAGAAATCTAGTTTCCATTACTATTGGTACTCTTTGAGAATTCAATATACTGTATGATGGTTTGGTTAACTGTCTCCTCTGAACTCAATATTATCACTATCTTCCCTCTATTATTTGCATGTTGTTTAACAGATATTTTATTAATCAAGAAGTTCTGTACCAAAAAACGTAAACATCCCTTCATGGGCCGGAATGAGCATTTCAAAGACCCTTCTCAAGAATTGAACGTAAGAGCACCCCCATTGAAGGTTCAATGGGGGTTTCACACAAAAACGAAAAAACAAAAAAAATAAAATATAATAAAAACTGTGAACCTTGCTCGCTGAGTATCACTGGGATGAACCTGGTTCACCGCTGTTCCGCGGGCCCCATGCCACGTGGCGGTCCACGATTGGTCCATATTTTTTTATTTATTTTTTATTTTTTTTAAAAATAAACAAATAAAAAAAGAAAAAAATTAATTTTTTTTTTATGAACCTCCCCTATTAGTTCATTGATGAGGGTGCTCTAAGGCTCCGATTGGTAACCATCGCGTAATCGCAGAATCGCGGAAATAATAGTTAAGTTGCGGAAAAAATTAATTAAGTCGTGGAAAAATTTG